CCGCGCTCATTCTAGCATCGTCCTTCATATCCAAACCCCTTGAACCACTATCGCAGCGGACTCCAACACACCTCGCGTCGACACTCATCAAAGTATATTACACTTTCAGCTACGGTTTACACGTTGCATTCTCTGATAATTGGATTGGAAATCGATCGTCTATGATCACGTTATTGAAGCCAAGAGTGAAGAGTTTCCGGTGCCCTCCCTCTCGAGGTCAACGTCAAACGAGCAGGTGCACGTCCTTTGTCAATCTCCAAGCTAAACACTCCAGCTGTTATACAAGCCCTGAACCTCTGACCCCCCTGACCCCTCTGACCCAGACAGACGAGCGTTGACCCTTCGGCAGATCCCTTGACCCCGACAACCGACCAAGGGATTTCCCTTAAGGAAATTCATTCCCCACAGCCGCCTCGAAGGGTTCGTCCCTTCCTGCCGGAGACTTCCGGCTCCGCTTATACTATTCGTCCTTGCGTAGTACCAGATTGCGAGTTCCAGACTATAAAGCGCAGCTCTAGCAAACAAATGGCAGCGAGGTAGAATCCGGCATAAAGATGCAGGCCACCCGACTCTTCCAGGTTCTGGCGCAGCCTTTCCGCAATGTATTTTATTAAAGGCGTCGGATATGCAACTACACGTGCAGGCGGCGTGTCGGCCGACTGCGAGCTTCCCTGAGTGCAAGGGCTACGGGCGTGACAGGGTGCGCGCATACGGACGGGATAAGACGCATAAGACGCGGGTTGGCAAACTTCTTGGGGAGGTTTGAGACATTTTGCAAAAACGCCCGTCTTTTTATATGTATTTTTCTACATAGTTCGCTAAGGTTTGCGCCGTATGACGAACGCTCTCTACTATCCTGCCTGAGACTTTGCGCAGGGAAATTCGATCCAGCTCGCAAATAATGCTATTGAACGCCGGCGCAGAGAACTTTTGACAAAAGTTTAATTAAACAGTCGCAACTGTCGCATCGACTAAACCCATCAATCGATAGACCTGCCGAAACTCCAGAGTTATAATTATCACTCGATACGTTTACCCATCAGGGATGCGTTATTTACAGTCTATAAAAAATATTCAATCGGCAAAACTGTGAATAAGAGCTGCCACTTTTCCCACGGCGCAGATCTTCCTCCGGGGCTGAGGCTGGACCAAGCGCGCATAATGAATTAAACATAGTTTTCATACAGTGAGCAGCTGGTCAGGCGGAGGAGATACATTTAGTGAGTCCCCCGGGAGAACCTCTGGATGTGTTTCCTCCTACACGTCCCCAGCCACCTGGACCAGGCCGAATGCTGCTGCCGTTATCTAGCTATCTAGTTATCTAGTTATCTAGACTACACTACCGTTGACTACGTCGACTATGGACTTTTGGATTTTCTGTTCTTTCCGAATTAGATTTAGATGAGCAGGTGGCGCCTCGATCAATAGGAAATTCCTATAACTATACATAAACCCATAGAGTATATTTTTGGTATTCTTTGGGTAATAGAGATCATCGGCGTGAATCTTCGACGCTCGCAACAGGAAGAATCATAATTTATATTCAGGACGCGATTTGTCGCTGAAACTGCAAGGGGTGGCTGGCAGGCAAGGGTGGATTCGCGAAATAAACTCCCGCACCCGTTCCGAGATGGCGAACGAAAAGATCTAGAAGTTCTTGCGGGAGTGGGGGGGCGGGGGTATGGGGAAGGAGGACGCGGGCCAACAGGCCCGAAGGAAACTCTGATACACAGACATACGTACACGCGCCTTGGGTACTACTGCTTCGACTTCGACTTGGACTTGCGACAATAAAATTGAACTAAAGAAGCTCGTACGTACGCGACTACGTGACTACGTGGCTACGTGGCTACGTGTCTGGATCTACAATATTTTAACTCCTGACTATTCTATATACATATAATAAATGCATATTCGAGCCTTTGGACTTGGGTCCCCGCGCGTAGCCTTTTAAGACCTGCAGGAACATTAAAAACCTTTTTGAAACGACTGGGAGTAAGATCCCAGTTACAGGTCACCGTCAATCCGACGTTTGACGAAGGATTGTTCAATCCTTCTAGGGGACAGGGGTTTACAGGCAAGCTGCCGATTCTCAATGAGAAACTAAAATGATGGTAAAACGTATCGCACGCGTACCACGTTTCACCGGTACGAGGACCGAATATCCGACACTCCCGATGCATATTTCATTTTTAATTTCGAAAATAGTCCCGCTGGGTTGTTGTTTCGCTTTATGCGAGCATGCGATTGCTCCTGGACGAATGGTTGCAGTTAGGAAAGAACGTGAATTCAGCCGCGACATCGTTTTAAATATTGCAACATATCGTAAAATTACGTACAGAGAAGCCCTTCCTCTCGCGTTCTACACACGTCCACCTACCTGCTTTCCGCCATTTGACCTCGGGTTCCTCTGTCAGCTGTTTCCTCTCCTTATTTTTCTCTCTTTTTACCAGCTACCTCCAAGCACCTTTCGCCACCCGAGAAACCGACTTCTTCCAGTTCGCGGTCGAATGTACTTACATAGGCTGTCGACTGCTTCAAGTCGGCCAGTGCGAGCCTCTACAGTTCTATGCTTTTTCTCTCGGCTACAAGCAATTAAAAATACTCGCTCAGTTGATTTCCAAACACATAGGGCACAAAATACTCAACAAACCTACAATTTCCTCCGGTGTCCTTGAGAATTTCGACAAATCGGTGCCAATCCGCCCTAAAGCAATTAGCAGACATTCGGACACCGCAGCATCGTTTCTAATGTAACGAAGAAAACCATAGAAATTGAATACGTACGCATATTTTGAGCTTTCTTCGTGTTCTCATGAAAAATAAATTATGGTTTCACGATTTAGATTTGATATCAAAATGATCAGAGAACGCCCAGGGGAGAAGATAATTTATTCATTGTCAGTCAAATAAAATTTGTCGAGCCGTGCGAAACGATCCCCGCCCGCGAACCAATAATTATAATTATATTCTCCACGAAACTTTACGGCCGCTCTTCATTAGAACGACGCCCGAAATACGCCAGGGCGAAAAAAATATTAAAGGCAGTCTTGATCGACCACCGGAAAATTCCGCAATTTATCGTCCGAATAATGGGTAAAATAATAAAACAGCGAACGGGGCCTTGGATATAAATGGTACTTCCGTCATGAAAATCTGTTCGATGCAAATAATTTTGATTTTATCGGCGCCGATTTTCCGTCCCGGATAATTGTGAAAGTTTATGACTACACTTCACTCGTAAACGTAAGAGTTGCATGCCACCATCCAAAACAAACCAATCATCCCGAACGTTAAAATCACCAACAGAAACATTGCACGATCCAAAATCATCTTTCAATATACTTTTCTTAAAGACACCATTCGTAAAGACGTAGGCCTGCATTTTATAATTTACCCAATGTCGGACGATAAATTGAAATTTACTTATACGTTTGGGATCTATGAAAATTTTTGGTAAGGCAGTCTCCTTTCATTTCAATAACCTCTCTAAGATGAAGGGTTTTGCAGATTGTCAAAAAAATTTCCTACGTTAAAAGATGGACACTGTCCACTGACTGCAGATACATAGTAGACTGAGACATCTATCCGAGACAGCCTGGAGTCCCGGACACTCGTAGAACGAATTACCGACTGAAAAATACAAATGTTACGAATGCCCCAAAAGATGGTGTTAACTCCTAAACAAAATGTCAATGCACGGGAAAGTTTTACATGATATCTTGAAACGAAGAGAATTCGCGGAAAGCGCTTTTGTATTCTGCGATACTAATAATTAAGTACATATAATAAGCTAGTGAAGGAAAAATTTGAATAATATTACTTTTATCTATTCGGCTGAAAATCATAACTGATGCTCGATATAAACAGAGAACTAGAAAAGATAAGCGTAGAAATGATAAGCCTTGCTATTACATCTCACAACGATATTAAAGTTTATTTTACTCTCAACGAAAGCTTTACATCAAAATACGGTTATAACGTCGAAGTAATATAAACACCCTATCGATTTACCACAGAAGTACAGACTTAAATTTCTCGTTGCTTCCGCGGGCACACATAAAAAAAGATATTTTCGAAACCTTATCAATTTCGAGTGTTTTCCTACATACAGGCGTGTAATGTGTAGTGTGCGTACAAAACTCGTTTGCAAATCCTAATTCACTATTCAAAAAACCGAAAATTTCTTCAAATCTAAATATTTAAGGTTTTGTGAGCTTTAAACTAATATTGCACGATATAATAATTACCGGCATATAAAAGTAGCATAGATCAATTCGATAGTATTCTGTATGAGAGAAAAAAAGTTTGTTAATATAAGTTGAAACCTAGATTATTACTTTACAATGTAGATCAACCATCTCTTTGTTGATTTACTTAAAGTTTCATAACTTCAGTAAACGTCATCGGAATCGATAAGTACAATCGACTAGTACAATTGAATCCGTTAGACGTCCCGACCTATATTGCTTGACAAAGATGGCCGAGACCGTTATAGGCACAAATACTCGGAGTAGAAATATTCACAATAGTAATGTTCAGTCAATGGTAAATATTAGAAAACAGAATCATATTATTCGTTCCTACGATTGAATATACATTGTACTGGTCACCTCTTGCATCAGGTATCTGGGTAGCTTTCTTTACGTAGATTCTAAAGTTGCAAGGATGTGCATGAATCTAACAGAGAAGCCTATGTCGGCTTTGTTAAAAATATACCAATGCCATAGCCACCTTTTACACATCTAATTGGTCCACTCTTAGCATCTCTTACTTCATCATCTTCCATCCCGTTCTCTTAAATAATCTAGAGTTCAGTGCATCAGTGCCATCACAGTATCACTCTCATAACATCTAATCGGGTGCGCCTTATCAACGTGACGTTACAAGTTCACGTTTGGAAATTCCACGTAAGTGCGTGAGATATCAATTTTAGTATTTTTCTCGAATTTCTAAGCCTGCGGATGTTCCCCATGAAGAAGGGTACATATGGCGTTTCTCAGGGCAATATTCGGAGTGAAACTCGTGTCGAGTAGAGGCGCGTTTGTCATGGGACTCGTATACTTCCCACTCAGGAACCATTCGTTTATCGCTGCCTGTTCGTAAGTAAATCCGTCTAAAAGAATTCCACAATTAATTGTATGTACTATTAAGTTTTATTGCCGCCAGTAAAACGATTACCTGAGCATTGTACTGGTTCTTTCATTATCTCGTGCGTTATCGGACATAAAAATTCATGTGGTACTTCAGTATCATCTGTTATTTCCCATATGCTACTATCCTCGCGTCTTAACCAATACAATTGTTTTTTGAAACTCTCAATAGCCTACAAGATCAAATTAAATAAATGATGATAAAGCTTTAGTCAATCGAACAACCAACTCACTTCTTCGTCATTCTCTATATCGAGAGTTGATATCAAATCCTCTTCTGGGGCAGATAGCAAGTGCCGTCCAGTCAATGAAGAAATGTCAGCATTTTCCGTTAATTTTGATAATTCAATTTCCTTAAGCCATTTCACGATCTCATTCAATTTCCAATCGATAACCTGTTGTGCAAAACCATACAGATAGAGAAATGATCATGCGATAGACTTATGTTTGACAATATTTACCCGTCTTCGATTGTGTCTTAGTCTATCTACTAAAATAGTCTGAGATATTAATTGTTGCGGTAGCTTCCAAATTAACACAGTCTTATCCAATGCACCTGAAAATCGTTAGAGCGGTTTAATTATGTAATCATTTATTGCCCGCAATCATTGCAGTTGCTTGTATAGTGGACCTGTTAGAAAGAGTGTCGTATCTTCCGAGAATGCACAAGCTGTTACGAGACTATCATGACTTTCCAGCACATGAAGACACACGCTGGAATACTGAAGGAATCGATTTTACTTATATTGGCATTCGCATTAAATTGTTAAGCGCGGACATTTGATCCGGTGTCATTTCATTATGTAACTTACGACACTCCAGAGACGCGCTGTTCGGTCCGTCGCAACGCTGCCCAGTATCTCGCCGTGTACAGGAGAGAAACAAACGTTCATAACATTTCCACCATGACCAGCCAAAGATCGTTTTTCTCTGTACGATGTGTCTGGATCGCTAGTGCCAATATTATTCTCACTCTTTGGACCAGCGAGAGTGACGCTTATTTGCCACAATTTAACGAGAGAATCGTTACCGCAAGTCGCTAGTAAATAAGATCCGCTCCCACTGCTGGAGTTCGATTCACGAGCACCTACATACGAATAAAATATCTTAAAATCGACAGTCTTCGTACATTATTGCAATCAATATAATTCGTTATACCAATGGTAGGACTGAAGTCGCATCCCTGTACTCCCAAATCGTGTCCCTCTTCGCACACGATGCAACTGGAGCTATTCTCTTTGTTAGTAACGTCAAACAACCTCCAGGTGCCTTCGCTACAGGCTGTCACAAGATATCTGGAGTCTGGCGTAAATGCAATCGTCGTTATTGCGTCTGCATGACCTTCGAAGACTCTACAAATTGGACTGACGTTACACGGTAATGATCTTTATGGTTTAAGATTTTAAGCGTAAGAGCACGGATTTCATGGAGGAGCACACTGCTTCTATTGGCTTTTTTTTTAATGCGTACTGTAATTCTTCCATTGTTTCGACATCCCACAATGTCGTCTTCTCATCGTCCCCTGCCGTGGCTATCGTCCTGCCGTCAGGGGACCAACGGCACACACGAATTCCACATCCAGAATTAACGAAAGATCCCCTGGCTTGGCCCCCCTTCTAAAATGCGCTCAGAATTAGATCCAAATAATTCCACTATTCTAGACGTCCGTGTACTCAACCTGAGCATCCCAAATAATGGTAGTGCCATCCAAGGAGCATGACGCCAGCATGCTGCCACAAGGACTGAACTCTACGTGATTCACGCTGTATTTGTGGGACTCTAAGGGGCTGAAGTGTTTCTCCTCGAATTTCTTATCATCCATTTCGGTATCCCGAGAATCGACGGCGCTCCAAATTCTTACCAGTTTGTCTCTGTATATCAATAACAAATAATTGAAGAAAGTTTACATTCGTGATTTCACATGAGCGTGTTCATTTTTCATCAACTGACCCAGATCCAGACGCTATCAGGGTATTCCCATAGAATGCAACAGTGTTTACGGCTCCGCTATGATCGTCCAATCTCTGAACTAGTTTAACCTCGTTCTCGGTACTCTCGGCTTGCTTTACAACTTTATCCTCTTGTAGAGTCTTCTGAAATGTAGAATAATATTTCTTATAAAATATGCTCTGTAGAATCCAGGTTACGTCTGGTACTACCTCTCCGCGATCGCCGGTGTAATGTAATTTTGGACAACAATGCCGTACCAATTCTGAATCTAAATTCAGATTTCCCATGAGATCCCAGACGATCACAGATTTGTCGTTTGATCCTAGGAACAACAGAATTTCAGAGAAGGTCTAAAAATTAATTTTTGGCTCGTTAATAAACTGTCGGCAATACCAGTGGCCAGCAAGTTTCCATCCCTAGAAAAAGCGCAGCAAGCAATGTATCGATTGTGTCCAGTCAGTACAGCCGCTATTCTACCGGTTCCCTAAAAAACCGTCAATTAAGTATTTAACGTTATTCAATTTTCTTTTTCCGGCAGATTCTTAAACATTTACTGTTTCCCAGATGACGGTAGTCTTGTCAAGGCTGCAACTGGCAGTATATAATCCATTAGAATTGAATCGAACGCACGTTAAGGCACTGCTGTGCTTCTCCATCACTCTACAAAGTTCGATCGAGGCAGCAGCTGGTTGAAGGTCACATTTCTCCTGGACCACCCGGACTTCCCAGAGCTTCACATTGTGGTCGTTGCCGCAGGTTACCAGTTGATAGAGTTTTGTAAAAGGCTCGTTGCCTGAAAAATTATGTCTATGATTGAAACGAATACAGCGGTACTGAATGACGCATTGCAAAGTGTCAAGGAAAATCATACCGGTCACTTCTTGCAACGCCGAAAAGTCGCAACTGACTACACCAAGATCATGAGCATCATCGACCGTCGCCAGAACATTTATAGAGTGATTGGCAGAATTGCAGGAATCAATTAATTCGCTAGTTGAAAATAGTTTGAGAACTCCAAAAGTACAAGAAGTGACCAACCAGGAGGAGTCAGGTGAGAAACAGAGACTCTGCACGGCACCCTCGTGTCGAAGAAAACACCTGAAATAATCGCAGAGACAATCTCACGTATAAAATTTATCAGAATATTTTGTCGATGACATCACGAAGGTGCTATAGAATAATAAAGAAAATAAAAAACTTTCTGTCGCTATACCGTTATCAATGTGAGTAACGTTAATGACCCAAATCTGGTTCGACGATCCGTTCGTGTATTTTTGGTTCGTGTACGATCCTAATGACATTTTACGTAATAGAATGATTTGACGTAGTCATATACATCATCTATGGTGCCCATGGTCGTTGGATTTATCGTATAAATTTAAGAAATACCCTTAAAAAAATATTACGGCACGTACCTAATTAAATTACGACGGATCAAATCCCAAAGACAAACCTGACCGTTGTCTCCGGCCGTTACGAGCAATGTAGAATCCGGGGAGAATCTGCATACCCTGACAGCCTCACCGCCGACTTGGACCATTGTGTGAATCTTGGTTCCAGACTGGTGTAAAAAACATTCATGGTTATATAAAGTCAAATCAAGTACACGAAGTAAATAAATGATTGAAGTAGAAGTAGCGTACACGTAGATTCCAAAGTTGGGTGGTACCGTCTATACTTGCCGACGCCAACATGGTGAACTGAGGGCTGACTTTGACACAAGTCACACCGTACTTATGTCCTAATAATGGTGAATAGCTGACCTCCACGTATCCAAGGCCTCGTTGCCATTCCCACACTCTGACACGCTTGTCTCTAGTAAAGTATGAAAAGTAAAATCCTTAAATACTTGTAGGTTCGCGCGACGTGTGACATCTTGACCAAAGTAAGTAAAAATTTCTCACCCGGAACCAGTGACAAGAATGCAATCACCAGCAAAGTCAACGCTATTTACGTCGCTCGTGTGGATGGCGAGAGTTTGCAAAAGTTGCACGTCTCCTATAAGGGCAGCCATTTCTTCTTCTCTAATCCTTATCTAATAGACATCAAAGGCACTTTATGGCGCGTTTGCTGAACTTTCCTTAACCTTCTTCTTTCCTGTAAACGTTATAACAAGTGAATTACCAGCTCCAATTTCATATGACATACATTCGGTAGCGCATAAATTATCACTTCTTAATCATTCATTATTCAACCGAGGAACGTATCGTATCCCATCAACTCCTGTAATGAACAAGTTTCTATCTATATAGCCATCATATCCATCTCTCTTGCTCTGCGGCCGCGAAAGTGTTACTTTTATTATTTATACCAATGGAAAATCAATCTTGCGTTTTACGTGTTCCAACACACGCCAATACCTCGTTTTTCTAGCGGTCAAGTGCGTGTAGTAGTGTTCTATATAGCTTCTCTATACGGGTCAGCAGTATCATGCAAATTATAAGTTTGTATTCCAACGAATCGTTAAACTTTAAGCAATTTTCACGCTTACCTAGGCTCACCTGCGTATCACACGTCTTACTAATATCTACGTAAAAATTAATCTTTTCTACATTCCGACTTGTCGGTATTCGGTCGGTCGGAGCGGTAATGACGTCTGGTTTAACTTGAATGTATTTTTAATCTGTATAGCTACTTTGCACGATGGCCAAACTAGAGGTAGCGAAAAAATCAGAATAACAGTGTAATCCTTTTATATTGATTATAAGAGCGATTACAAAATCAGCACGTTTAGAAACGAGGAATACACACGATTCGGTCAAGAACTAACGTAGTAAGAATAAATGTCGGGAGGATTGCAAATTTAATTTAGCGTGTTGGTTCTTTTACATTTATCAGTAACAGATGACCTTAATGTCTTTAATTATGCAAAAATTCTTAGAAAAAAGTGAGCCGTAATTTCTAAATAATGTCACAGACATAAAGTTCAAGTACATTGAGTACTGACGTGTAGGTCTTAGGACACTTATCGACTTTCTCTCGTTCCGAGCATCGACTTGCGATTTGCAAGACACGAATTATTATAACATTATTATAAACATTGAATTGGCATCGCGAATCTCCTCTCTCAGTTACCTTATCAATCGTATTGTAAATGTTTTAATGTCATTCGTAATATTTTGACACTTACCCCCCCCCCCCCCCCA